AAATTTAACAATCTATATAAATAACAATTATTTATATATATATTGCTTATTAATTATTTTTATTTAACTAAAATTTTTTTAATTATTATTTATATAAATTATTAATTTTTCATCTTAAATTTATGTTTTAAAAATAAAAAAAAATCAAACTAAATCTCATAAAAATAAACAAAGAATATAAATTTGAGATTTCCATCTTCTACTTGGATTGGAAGAGCTTTGATATCGGAACCTTCAAAATGTCTCTAAATATTTTACTGTTCTTTTGATTCTTACAGTCAGCGTTGCTGGTGGTTATGAGAACTCAAGCAACGTCTAGTTCCTACGGGTTCATGTTAAATTCAGCCATGCATCGGCTTCATGCTTACGACTGATGATTTGCACCTTCCATAGTAGTTACTTTTAGGTTGAAGATTTTTACATTTAACATAAGTTGCTTTTGCATATGAGAAATACTAGCAGCACTTGGACCTTAATTGGCCAAGTGCATATTTTTTAAATTTATTTTTTTTTAAAATAAAATAAAATAAAATGAAGGAAACCACTGAGGAAAGGAGTGCTTATTCGCTCAGGCACAAGTTGAGTGCACATAACACTCTTCTTTGCATAAAGACCCATATCTTTACTATTACAAGTTCCTTGGAAAATTCCAGGAATTATAAATTTGAAACTCTAATAGCTTGCTGGGTTTACAATAAGAGAAAGGATGGGGAAAATTTACCCTATTTCCAAAAAATTAGAAGGGATGGGAGGGGCTTTCCCTTATATTTTCTTTCCATTTCCTTCCCCTCCCCTTTGTTTCCTTCAAATCCAACATGGAATAAAAGTTAGAAGCATTATACAACCAAGAAATCAATTACGCCAAAAAAATGTTGCTCAGACAAGAACGAAAAGATGGCCAAAAAGCAAGAAAAAAGAACCCGAGGCAGCTGTTAGCCAAAACAATGACTAAAGGCCAACCACCAGCAACACCACTTGAACAAAACGGCCATGCATGTAAACTGACTCTGACTAATTTTTTATGAGGATCTGTAGATTGTAGTAGTTCCTCATAATCAGCATTACTTCCAAAAAGGCATCATAACATCCTACGAGACTCGCTATATCTAACTTATCTAAACAGGTCCTCAAACAGACAGGCATCATTCATGAACCTAACAGGACATGACGTTTTCTCGAGTTGCCATGGGAATGCAAATTGTACCCTAAGTTAATAGAAAAGAGTACATGCTTAATAGATTAACGGACCAAAACGATGCAATGATAGGAGGTACATTCAGAGCAAATATTTCTATGATAAGTTACCTGGTTGCATGCTAATCTTTGAGCAATCTAGTGAATCCTTGGCAATCACAGGAATAGATCCATCAGGCAACAGCGTCAGAAAATGGTAATTATAACCTACAGGCAACTTCTATAAATAGCTAGACGCAATCTCTAATCTGACATTTTCTTGCTGGAGATACTAATTAAATGAGGAAATTGGATATTACGCTTGTTTCTAAAAGAAGCTTTTATGGTTACCTCAACAAAGCATTACAAAACCATATCAAAACCAGAAAAAAGTGCGTATCATCCTGCCACTACCAACATATCTAAAGTCCAAGATAACATACCCACTAGAAAAGATGAGTTGATTCCAAAAGTATAAAACCTAACTGATAGAAACCAAAACCAACCTGTAAAATATTTTCCAGATTAAGGTGGTTGACACATAATGCACCAAGGTTCCATTAAGACCATAAGTACCATAGAATTAGTACAACTGGACACTGATCATGAGACGGTAGAGTAACTTGACAACCGCTGCAACATGAGGACGACAAGACTGACTTTCAGACACCCATATTGAGCAATGCTGGACGACAACTCTGGACTTCTCAACCCTCAAACATGTCCTAGTACTCACTGGAACAGTAGACAATTGCAAATCAATGGATGCAAAGCTACCAAAAAATTATTAAGGTACATGCAAAGATTTATTTATCAAAAAAGATTAAGGAGGACAAGGGACAAAAACTGTGTAGGCAGGGAAGAAGAAGCCTTGAAAGCAAATCTTTGAATAGTGTGACATTGATTGCTTATTGAGTTGTGTTTTCTACATATAGGATGTACAAGAGAAAACAATTTCAAGAAAAATATTGAAATATAAAGAAAATTCATCACACAACAAACCTGATCACTTTCGTTTGCAGTTGGAGAAGGAGACTTCTTTGTCTCAGCAGGTTTGTCAGCTCCACAATTCTGCCGGTTGCACTTGGTCCTGAATGGATAGTTTATGTTGTTACATTTCTCGCACTTCCAGCTACCCTCGGGCATCTTTTGCTCTGAAAAGCATGAGGTACATGCATATCCATAAAAATTAAAAAGCCAATCTCAAACATGTTTGAAGATTTAAATTTACTTACTGGAATTTTTGTCTGATTTAGCAGGCTGCATTACAGAGAAAATCAATACTAGTCAGAAATATATTGATCAAATTTTCTATTAAATAAATATATAATTTTCAATATCCACAGCCAACGGCAACTTTAATAAATGACAGAAAACCAATACACATGTCAGGCAGCAAAATAGTTAATAAATTCCATTCCACAAACCTGTGATACAGGCTTTGGTGTATTACACTTCCTCATGTTACAAACAGTTCTGAAAGAGAAGTTGACATTTCCACATTTTGGGCATGTCCAGTCATTATCACGTGTTGTGTCTGGAGATATAATAGAAAATGAAGTAATCATGTTAGAATACAGAAGTTGCTACAATGCCCAGTAAACAAAAATTTTGCTGCACCTTTTTTCTGAGATTTATCATCTGGAAAAAATGTTGGTCTTGGTCCCTGCAGAAAAAGAAAAATTTGAAATTATAACTTCAATATCATATCCAAAGCAACATATCTTCATCAAAAGTTCAAAAAACTTGATGCTCCCCACATTGAAGAGGGGAAATTCACAAGATAAATTCTGCAGGAGCAACTTTAGTGTGCAAAGGTAGTAGAAAAATCAAGTTGCATGTCTGCAGAAGCAAATATATGTGCATATAGAAAGGGAAAAAAAAAAATTCTATTCATGTTACACCTTAAAACATTAATTAATCTTGGTTACATGGCTAAACTGCCTACTTTACTGCCTCACATGCCATAACGTGCATTCAAAATTAAAAACAGAAAAAACAAATGAAAACAAGAAAAACTTGAAATACCATACACAATCTAATCTCACAGTGCTAACAACCAATTCAAGCTAGAGCTTAACTAAAGCTTAACTTCAGTACATAGTACATACCATTGGCGGAGGGCCCAGTGGCAAACCCAAGCCGTAGCGGTCTATCAATGGTGGGATCCCATACATTCCTCCTGAAAAAAGAATTAACTTACTAATGAATGAGCTATTAAAAACCAACTTAAGGTCCAGCATCACAACTAAAAACGAGGTTGGACATGTTTAAAATCAAGGATTTCCAACAGATGTTCAGGTCAAGTTGACTTGTGCATAAAATTAGTGAACATTAAAGAAAATAAACACACACACACACACACACACACACACATATTTAACCTGTCAAGAGTGTCTGAACTAACTGGTAAATCAGGATCACTCTTGTAGTTATAGCAGGAAATTCAAACGAATTAAGTACTAAAATGGCATCAAAACACACCATTTCCAATGATGGATCCACCGGAATAAGGGGGTGGTGGTCCAGGCATGTGCAGTGGTCGATAAGGACTGCCACCAGGGAGACGGCTGCCATAACTGTAATGATAGGCTGAGCCACCAGAGAAAGGAACATCATATGGAGGAGGAACAGAAGATCCATTGAAGAGGGAAGAACCATAAGGAGGAACACCCAAATACATTGAAGAGGGTGCGCCTGAACCGAAATAAGGTGCCGTTGATGAGTAGTTCTGAGGTGCTTGCACAGGCTTGGCTAGAGATTTCTGTTGGAAAAATGAAAGGCAATTATGACATAAACATAATTCCCAAGAGCAGAATACTTAGAATAAAAGTAGTGTCTTAAACCACCGTGAGAGTCCATACTACATTAGCAGATTTTGATGAATGATAATCATTGAGCTTGAGAACTAATTGAAAGGAGCACAAATCCAGTTAAGGGCAGAGGATATCTTGAAAAAAAAAAATAAAGACAACTTTAGGTAAGATTATGAACACAGCACTGTAAATAAGACATTTCAGAAGACTCTCCCCTTGAGACCACCCCCATTAAAAGAAGTGTTAACATTTAACATCAATTTGCATGTCAGGAAATCCTTCCAATCCTCCCAAAGCCTATCACTATCCTATTATAGTTAACAACCCATCCAAATTTGCATACAAACATGTAAACCGCTTCTCAGCTATACAATGGCATACTTATTACTTACTGAGTTATGATCAGCTGGTCTCGGTTGAGTGCAATTGCGCATGTTACAAGTAGTCCGAAATGAAAAATTTACATTGCCACAGCTAGGGCAGGTCCAATCATCTTCCCTGCGACTGCCTACAAATAAAAATGGGAATTTCCCATAGCAACAATGAAGTCAAACAACACAACACACTCATATATCCAGGAAACCAATCACTTCAGAAAACAAACTAGCATACCATCAGTTCTGGCCCGCTTGGCCGCTGAGGAGTTTCTATTATCCACCTGAACACCAAGCAACATAGTTAATCACTAGTTTTAAACTGAAAATAAAAAGAAAAAGCCAAACCCAGGAGAAAAAGAAAATCCCAATTTAGCTCCAGGCAAACCCAGAAGGGAAAAAAAAATATAAATCCCAATTTAGCCCCATGCAAGCACAATTTCATTCCTTAATCCACAGAGACACTGAATACCCAAAAATCAACTAAATTTCGCAAGCATTACTACCTCAATTAGCAAAACAATATAGCAAACGAATTGGAAGAAAAAATTGAATAGAGGAACAGTAATGTGCCTTATATTGAAGTAAAACCTAGTTTTCGGGAATCGAAAAATTCCTAACAATTTAATCAGGAACAGGAAAGAAAGTAACTATTCGAATAAGCTGTTAGATAAATTAGGGTTAGGAAGAAGCAATCAAGGAGCGAGGAATTGAAAGAATTTGGAGCTAATGTACCTGAGACATGGCGGCGGCGGCGGCGGCGGCGGTGGCGAGAGAAGAAGACGGTAAAAGGCGTAGCTTTGAATCAAAAGAGAGTGTGCTAAGCGCTAACTGCTAACTGCCAAGACCTAGAAGATGCAGAGGCCGCGACGGCGAGAAGCAAGTGTCTTTATTTATTTTTTATTTTTATTTTTAGTGAAATGAAATGGAAGACAGTGGACTTTGTTGGGAGTGACCAGAAACAAACGCAGGGTAAACGCCGTTTGTCTTGAACCGCAGTTTTGTGGACGGTGTACAAACCTAGGTCTATGTATCTGTTTTATAGAGAAAAAGGTAAAGATAAAAATATAAGTTTGGTTAATATTTTTTATTTAAAATTTAATTAAATAATTAAAACATGTTGTTTCTTATTTAATTAATTTTTTAATAAAAAAATATAAGTTTAATATTTTTAAATAAAAAATAAAAAATTT